AACACATTTATGTTTCAAAAGGTCCGTGTCAATGGACTTCTTAGTGAACTGTCATGAGTCAGTGCTTGACGTGTACTAGCACTGTGTAGCAGTGTAGCGGAATCTTCTGTGACAACGACGTTTATAAATTCGGACAGAACTAAAAATAATTACTCGTGTCCAGTACTAGATGTGTTTTAAATAGCGAGTTATGCATGAGTATGCAAATGACAGCGTAAGAGTGACGACATGGCTACACTCCGGTAAAACGGAACTGTGTTTGTGAATGACGGAAAATAGTCGAATGCAACATGCAGCCATGCAGGCACGTTGGTACTCGTACGAACACTCGTGCATATGCAACTACGCTCGTCGTTAACGAATACCTTAACAAATACTGCAAGATTTTATAAAATGTTTACCGTAGGCTTACTTTTTGCAATCAAACTCTAGGAAGAAAATAACTCATTGTTGCTAAATTACAAACACCGTTAATAGCAGATTGTATAGCTGACACATTGTTTTTATGAGTTATTTTTGTCATTAATTTTGTTGTCACCTACGCATACTACGATACACTTACGGACTAAAGAAATAAGAGCTATTGTTGTTCAATAGGTCTTGATACGGCACATACAATCGTGTATGGTATACATATTACAATTATTATATGGTGTTAGAGTGATGTATCGCGATCGCGATAAAGCCACGGCGGCGTCGACGTCGAGGGTGACTGACCCACTATTGGTAGATATTTGTACAATTGTGTTTGTAGATTCGCTCCAAGGACGCCGTTTACGTCACCCGGAGTAATCGACTATCGTGATAGAGATCATCTCATACGAATTTCATCTTTATTTTATTGTAGCAAAGTTACTTATGCAAATGTCTGGCATTAACTAGCACTGGATAAAAATATGGATTTGTTAATTCGGAGAGTTGATATTCTAGAGGTCAATAATACCGGATGAAATCAATAACCATTATTGCGCAGTTCTATAAATATGTATGATAGACCATGGCTTAGCTTTAAAATGTTAACAATCTATGTATATGGGGATAAACTTGTTATAGACATTGTAGATAAGATCGCGTGCAGTGCACATAGTTGAAGTGGAGTCACAGAGTGTCGTACAGCACGACGGGTGCGGCGGGCGCAACACCCGCGCGACAATGCGACGACCAGCCGGTCATTAACCCTTTACACCCGCCGTCGCGGGCGTGCACCCTAACGCACAACCCTCTAGCTCCCTGTCATAACAAACTCTCCTTTCCTAGACACCTAAGACACTCACTGTTTTTGATTTGAATTCATAACAGGAATGTTTGCTTCTGCATTTTTGCTGCATAGAGATGTGGGCGTAAAAATGCATTACGTTAGGTTTAAGTAATTAAAACCTAAGATGTTACGTGTAAGTACATACAAAGTCTGATAAAAAACGTTGCGTAATACATCAGCGCTAAAGGTATCGATAGCGTAACATAAATAGAAGATGCACGATGAACGTGGAACACCTGCATACATCTTCACGTCACATGGGCTGCCTGTAATTGGATTAAGCCTGATGAATGGGTTAATACCCCGGCTTATTGGAATTATTATGTCTTCAGAAGGATATTGTAATAAAATGCACAGTTATTTGAATAGGCGGTCAAAATATGGCAGAATCGAAGGCTGATCATCAATTCAGGACATGTCATTGGAACCTATAGGCATGCCCGCACAGGATTATTCTAGACTAGACTCATACAGTTACCTAGCTAACGGCATTGCCGTTTCCGTGTTCACACAATCCCATCAACGATGTTGGTTATTAATTATATATTTTTTCATTTATACAAATTCATATAGAGTTTAATTTAGCACACCAAAATTTATTATACAAAACTTGCTGAATTTGTTATAAAATTAAATTGGGAACTTTTTCTGAGTCTGAAAATATTGTTATTAATAACAGAACTCCGCTCTTATGTAAACTTTTTAAGGTTTTCCATTTTTGCAAAACACAACCTGATTGATTCATTTTCTCTAGTACCTCCACAAAAGTTATAAACGTAATGTATAAATGAACTACTGAAAATAGTATAAAACGCGCGTAATATACATGTAACGAGTGATTAATGTAAGGTATGGTGCACATAATATGTGTCGCAGCGCACGCTTTTAGTTTTCGCGCCACAGTTAGCCGATATAGGGGAGTCGTGCACGCATCGGCCGGGCAACGACCGCGGGAACTTGTAACTACATCCGGCGGCTCAGAACCGTATAGACGTAACTACGCCTTCAAACGAACGCCGGTTACGACGTTTTCTACCCGCGCTCCGTCAACGAGCGCTTTGAACCCACACTCGACAGGGCACAGGCGTTCTTCGCAATACTGATAGACCTTCCGCATTATAACGTGCCTAATATAAATGGACAGCTCACTGCACCCATTACTGTCCCAGTTTACATCATTTCTAAAACCGAATACTGTCACGTCATCATTATGCAATTTGCTAATAATGTCATCTTCTATTAGATAAATTGAATCACCTCCGTTACGAAATTTTTGCCCTTGAATATTTTGTTTTGTAAACAATATTATACATCACTCAACAACTGGTGTTATTCTTCGACCGCTCGAGCCCGGAAATGATTTGCACTGTTGTTCCGTTTTGTTTGCATTCGACTATTTTAATATGAATGTAGGTTACGATTCGGAAATGTTTTTAAAAGTTTATAAACATCACATTTTTAAAATAACATGATGTTTATATACAGTTTCAAGTATTTAGGTTATGGATAGGTAGAAGTTAATTCTAAACTGCTGTGTTATGTAACAAATTGAGTTTATTAATGTCAAACTTATAAGCTGTGAATGCCCTTTACCGGAAGACATCATTGCTATGAACTACGAAGTTATGCTCGGAGAAAGGTCTGAGAAATTTCCCCGAGTTACGACATCGCGCCGAGTCAACCGCTGGAATTAGCGAACGGGCAATACGATGGAAATGGAAAATCGCGAAGTGCAGCGGGGAGTTGGGGCGGCGACGGCTCGGGGGGAGGGGGGGGGGAGTCCGGGCATTCGCGTGCACTGGCCTATATGCAGTGCGACGACACCGGCGCCCGGGAGCGATGCACTCTCTAAGTACATACTCGTAGTGCCGCGTACTCGACGCACACTAAGGCACACACCTATTTTTTCTAGGTGCATTTGTGCAGGGCGCCGCCGAGTCTCTCTTTACATAAAAAGTTTACGTGAAAGAGGAGACTTTCAAAGCTGAAGAAGATTGAAATGCTGATGTAGACGCAAAACAAACACGTACGTATTATACACTACGACACTACTGAAACAGTGTGTAGACTGTCTAGTCAAAGGGTTTTTTATGACGAGGGAAGGATCCTTGCGGAGCAAAATGATCCTTTGAATTCTGAAATGATTTTCTTTGCTGCGTAGCTAACTAGCTACTTAACGCTACGTACCTACGACCAACGGCTTCCTCTGTACTTGTTTATTTGGAAACCATGTTTTTCATAGTTTTACAGGACACAAGTTTGCCAATTATGGTTGAATGCTATGCATGATTAAGTCAACTTTAAAAGCTTCGAAATAAAGTAAGATGATTCAAAACGAGCGTTTTACAGTCACCGGAAATCCCGCCAAGTACGGCAATCGGTGAGTATGAAGAATTTTACCCATACAAGTGACACTGCACTATACGCATGCAAGTGACGACAGATAACCGTAAAAGTGGAACGGATATTGGTGCATTACAATGGAATATGCATGCGTGCAATGAAGCGGGGTGACCGTGCACTGCCCGGCGCAGGGTGCGCTGACGTGCGCTGTTCCGGTCTGGATGCGGCTGACTCATGCACGCACCACCACCTAGTGCACGCAGCCGAGCTGCCCATTAGCTGGCTAAGTACTTACAGGCGCAGCTGGTCATGGCATTTTAAATTTTAACGATAATGTCAACTCAAATCGCTACACTACACGATTGGACGGATCATCAAAAGGCTGTTAGTGAGAACAAATGGTATCCTGTCTAAAACATCCTCTAGACCAATTCAACAGCAAATAGACGTTTATGACCATGACGCGCTAACTATACACATTCTAGGCCACTCGCTATATTTAACAAATCTCGGAAAGCTTCCTCAAACCTTGGAATTTAATACTGCCAATGTGTTTTAAAATCTTTTACATACTTTGCAGGCAGATGTCTAGGCCGCGTTCACGAATATTATAATCTATGTTTAATATAATAAAATACGGTTTAGATAAATTATTATTGAACCTAGTTTTAAATATTTTTAATCAACTAGCTGTAGGCATTCCGAACGAAATCATAATTAAGATTATAAAATATTTATAATTATCACGCACCGAAGCATAACATGAAACTTACATAACTCCGGATCATAATAAATAAAAATAACATGCGTTTAAAGAGCAAAGTTCAATGACCGGTTACCTTAATTTCAAGTTCAAAAGGTCACTAAAATATTCAATAATAAGTGTTAAAAGCTCACCTGCAGTGTGTTCTTGCAGCTGTTTGTTATCACTACTCAACTCCATAATGATGCATTGCCAAATTCGTTAAAGTTTTAAATGAAATATTTCGCCGAAGTTAGTATATGTTGTTAGGTTATAACCGGCGCGAGATCCAACAACGGTTTGGCGCGAAAGCTAGCGACGAACGTGGGGTGAACGCGTGGGTGAGCTACGCGCATGCGCCCCCGTGACGTCAATGGACGACCCCCTTTACACCCACCCGACCATAATTTAAAGTTCACTATATTATTAAATTGTTAAATGCGATTGTTTATGCTACACTTTCTAGAATTTAATTTAGTTTGAGATAATTGTGTTGTCAATGACTGAATCTCGTATTTATCAGATAACAATCGCAGAGGTCGTTGAACTGGTTTTTCAGGTTTTGATGTGACTATTAATAAGTTGGTATACATGTATAATATGTTAATGAGAAATGGATATTTTTATTAGTGAGTTTAATAATGACATCTAAAAATTTTATTTCAGTTTTAGAGTGTTAGTCTTACAAGATTTCTGAGCACTAATCTGATCTGAAACCACCTGAAGTAGGTAATTTAATTGGCAGCAGGTAATGTTTGCGGACTGAGAGGAAACGAAGTAACGTGGGCGCGAGGGGTCGGCGCAGTTCACGGCCAAGCGGCGTACCACCCACTGCCACCCTGCCACCCTCCGCCTCGGTCCACGTTGCCTAACCAGAGCCTCGCTATTTTTAGGTCCAAGCTTATATTTGAGTTTAAAAGATAAACTTAGGAATGTAGTGTTAATTTTGTAGGTAGTCATCACAAAATTCAGAAATACAATTGTTGTTTGGTTAAATTATCAACTTGTATGTTTGTGTTTTTGACAATAGCGAAAAGGTAAATGATAATTATGTTTTATAATCAAAGAATATAGCATAAACACGTTGAGCCAATTTCGTTACATATAGTTGTGTTTAGCGTAGATGGATATAAGCCAAAATTGCTGAACAGCGCGCTGAAATCTTTGAAACCATTTTAAAAATACGCAATCTTAATTTTTACGTAAATCGTGAAAACATCAAAATGTATTTTTCAACAAGATAACAATATGACGATTTTGTTAATATAGACAGACTGCTATGCGCTATGGCGATGTAGCCAAGATATTTTTGTTCACGCAGGAAGCTAGCGACATCTATCTAAACTGTTTCAAACGATCTACTCGACGCTAGATGGCGTTGTAGACAAATTATTTTTCCTTGTTTTATATTTGATTTTAGTTTTCAATATGAGTATATTGAAGGGTATATAAACGAAATATTAAAATAATATCCTAATTAAGTATTTTTATACTATGAAAAATAGTTTAGAAATTAATTACTGAATTTCAACATTTTTTTTCCTTGATTTGACATTTCATTAGCACAATCCACATATTGAGAAGAATTATTTAAATATAAAAAATAAATATTTGCGAAAAAAATACGCCAATTAAATTGTTTCAACAAAGCAAGCTCTGGTCATTGGCATTGGACTGGCATTGTGTGCGTCTAACGGTTCTTTTTCGTTTAATAGATTATTTCTACACAATTGTACATACACACTTACACAGCTGTATTTCTATACAACTGGCTGAGTTACTTTTTATGTATATACCTATTTACGTTTTTGCATTTTTGATATACCTAATTGAAAGGGACGTCCATTTGGCCCATATGCTCCAGTAACGTATTATGCAAATGAGCGGTTTCTAATTTTATATAGGCAAATGGATACAGTTCCACTTAAAAACGTTATATTAAAGTAATTTGTCTGGATAAACATCGGGGTCTCGGGCCGATTCTGATACAGTAGGGCACACAATTTGGATGGCCCGGAAAGTTCGGCGGGTAGGTAGGGCTGAGTTCATTGACCTCGCTCCCTAACCTACTCCGGCAGTATTTAGAGCACGTAGGCCGCACTCCCGCTCACCGTCGACACAGCCTGCCGCATCTAGGTCACCACTGACTCATGGTATGACCCACTATACTTAATCATCAGCGGCCAGAGTAAGCGTAACTATTGCTAACGCGCTTTAAACTGACCGTTCCATGTTGGCAAATTTGTTTTCACAAATTACCCATTGCTCCGTATGAACTCAACGGCAATATTATTTCTCATAAACGGCAAGATGCCGTCCACCTAGATGCAACCTCTACTAAGAAGTTATCCATCAGTAAGTACATTTGTGGCAATGACCCTTTCAGATAAACCTTCACTTAATTCTCACGTTTAACAAAATACAAATAGGTACATATGTACTTTATCTACATAGATAGGTAATAAGGTTCATAATGTCTATCTATTTTTATTTCACGGTTTCTGGGTAGTACTATGGCTTTAAAAGTAATGAAATTTAACGACAGTAAGAGGTATCAGTAAATCCAATGATAGAAGCAATAACGTTGTTCTAGGTCAAAATGTTGAACGACGAATTGATAATAAAAATACACAGAAATTACGATGACGTGTAGCATTGATGTAAAGTCAATGAGTGGGAGATTCAAGGTGCGTTCATATTTTCAAGGCGAAATAATTCAATTGATAGATGGCACACATTCAAATAAAGGTCTCTAGTTTACATAATATTGTTTTATATTTGTATACGTTTGTATTTTTGTAAAATAAACGCACTATGCATCGAATGTCTAGAACTAGAAGCTATTAAATAAATCGTGTACATACGAACCTGTTGCTAGTTTTTTGTAAACGAGCGTCAATTGTTATATAACAGTAACAAACTCTTGGCCAAGTCCTTCATTCGCGGTAATAAGAATGTGCTAAGAAGTGAAACAACTGATCGGTGGTTTGTCCCTAATTATTGCAAAATGAAGATTACATAACAAAGACATAAGGCAATACTAATTTGTTTATACTACACAATACGTGTCTATAGTCTTTACAGTACACGACTACATATAACGTCTGTAGTATTTTGCCTTGAGGTGATGAGAAGAAGAGACATGAGTTTAATTATTTTTAATGCGACTGAATTCATATTAATAGAATTATATTCTTTGAAGAACTTGTATAAAGAAGTGGGCGGTCACAGTTAGCGCAACAATCTAAGTTATACCACAAAATCATAAAAGTAACTGTTGCACCTTCATTCTATCTGCCATGTAACATAAAGAATATAAAGTTACATCGAATAAAGTCATGACCCAGTATTTACTATATAAAAAATCATTTAGTTAAAATTACGGACAACGTTGAAGTACATGAACGGGTCGCTTATAAAAAAATGAGGTAATGAACACAATGTTCGGCACTCTTCTCAGAGTTTAGGTTCGGCGGCGGGTTAGCGGGTTACCAGATAAATGTAACGCGAATTATTAGACCATGGGCTACTAGGAACATAGTGCCTGACGACCCTAGTGTATGCATACACTTGCTACTTTGTTTAAAGTAGTTTGCGTAGCAGAAGGTTACGATGCGACCTTCTAAAAATATCAAACTAAATGACAATGTCTGTCATATAGGTACTTGCGTTCAGTGCTTGGTATACATATGTATTGTCATGTAATATTCATCCTGCAGGCTGTAGGTTACAAAGCTCCGTTTTTGGTTAGTCATTTCATAAAGCTGTTCTGTTGAAACGATGGGTATTTTCCGCTGAGTGTGCCTGGACGATAGGTCCGCGCGATATGACGCGAGCGCAGATCAAATTGGGGTCAGGGCGGCGCGGGCGTCGACCCGCAGCCTCTCGCAGCTGCCCCCCGCTGCACCCGCGCCCCACTCCGCACCACCCTGCTTCACAACCTTCTACCACTACTTTACCCCTACATTATTCTACTCATCAACTAATTTTCCCTGAAACGTTTGATTAGGTTTATCAAGAACGTTCCTTATAGGTATTTGTCTTTTGTCTAGTTTTAGTTTTGTTGGTTTTTCTACAAACGATTTTCATTTTTACAGCATTTTATACAACATTAAAGTGTTAAAAACTTTTAAATAACAAAAATTAATATTTCGATTAACATTCGATTGCTTTAATTAAGGAGTTCATGTGCCATGTTTTTTCAGCATGTTTTTATTGGTTAGCGCTTAGTTGCACAGATGTTAAAAGAAATGTGAATTGAGTTACATGCCGTACATTAATTATTTTCGGACTATCAAACAGTTTACCTAATTATTGAAGTACTTAAATGCACAAAGCTATTTATTTAATTGTTACGTGTTCGCTCGTACAACTGAATGAAGATGACGTATTAATTAATGATACGAAATGTTATGTATACGATATGCAAAGCTGCGGATACCAGTATTCGTACCTATTACCTAGTAACTTTCATTATACATATACATATGTATTATAATATATTGCTAATCGATTTAAGTTAGCAAACGCGTTCCTATCAAACATTCAGTGATTCTTACTTTAAACAATTAATTTAGCGTTGATTCTTATTCTTATGCATTTACATAAGAAACGATTCACTTCTATAATATTCTAATCACGTATCCACCACTAATTGATATATTAATTAACACTGTATTAAAAATACAAATCAGATTTGATCTTGTATTTTTAGTAAGAATGACCAGGTCATCAGGTGATTGCGAGACATTTGATGTGTTTAATATTTGAAATGATACAATTAAGGTTACCTACATACTTAGTGTGACGTTACAGGTACGGATTTAGTGTGATTTAAACAGTTATTTGTGTGTGGGGAGCGCGGAGCGGGGCGGCGAGCGTGACCCAATTGCAGTCGGGCGGGTGAACGAACTCGAGGCCTTGATCGCAATACCGAGTCCGCGCCGCCCGCACACCCCGCGCCCCGCGCGCCGCCGCGCCGCGTGCTGCCTACGTCACACCGCACGCCACACGCAACACTTTGTTTCATTTATTTGTTTAAAATTCATGCCTCATAAAAATATTAAATTTTTACGGTCACTTGTATGTTTGTAACTACGTGTTAAAAACTATGCGATTAATTTTGTTTTGATTTATTCAAACTAAACATGCTATTGTTCATTGCGATTTACTTTTGCTAATTTTAATTTTCCCGCCCAAAGAAAAAGTTGTTAAGTGACGTTTAAAAATTCAATGCATTTTAGGCTCTATTTTGGCATTCTACGTATTTTACAAAATTGCACATGTAAGTGTACGTCAGGTGTTATATAAACGAATACCCATGAAATGAGTCGAAGTCTAGAAACTAGTATTCCTCTAGCTTATACTGTCTAGATTCGCACTCAAGAGTAAAAGAGATGTAGCTAGCGGTTGCGCACGCGGAATGGAGCTTATGAAATACTGTTTGTCGCTATTCGCGGCTATGGAGGTGTCATGAGTGAGAGTGGGACAACAGTATTTCAAGGCTTCATGTAGATTATTATTAGAGTATCGGCGCTAGGTTATTCTAAGGCGACCTAGATAACGCGCGGGGCCGTTGACCGCGGGCCCTCCGACTGTGTGCGCGGCCTCCAAAATAAAATGGCATTCTGCGATGGGCTCCACTTGCGAAACTCGACTCGACCATGATGTCGAGCGCAGATACTCACTCGCTCTTCTTTGCGAATAATGCAATTACTATTGATTGACTAATACTATGTATTATTTGAACGTGAACCGCCTTTGCAAAATAATTACGTTAACCAAGTAATTAAATCTTGCATATAATCTTCCTAAGATTGTGGATGTTATTTTATTAAATAGGTCATGGCCACTTTTAAATATTAATTATGCAGTTCAATATTCTTGCGAAAATCAATGCATGTTATGGATACGCAAATCAACATAATTTTTCTACAAATTCGAATTAATGAAATCCTGAA